CGTTTAACTGACTGAGCCACCCAGGCGCCCCTCAAAAGCCTTTTATTTTCATGTACTCCCAGTTATTAATTTTGGCTTTTGTTTCCCTTTCTGAGGAGACATAGTCAGAAAAATATTGCTAAGGCCAATGTCCATGAGCTTACTCTCTGTGTTTTCTTTTAGGAGGTTTATGGTTTCAGGTCTCACCATTAGGTCTTTAATCCATTTTGAGGATTATCATTATTATTATTATTTGAGGTTATTTTTGTGTCTGGTGTAAGAAAGTGATCCAATGTCATGCTTTTCCATATAAGTGTCCAGTTGTCCCAACATCATTTGTTGAAGAGACTGTCTTTTCCCCATTGTGTGTTCTTGCCTCCTTTGTCAGAGATTAATTGACCAGATAAACACGGGTTTGTTTCTGGGCTCTCAGCTCTGTCCCATTGATCTGTGTGTCTTTTTGTGCCCGTACCATGCTGTTTTGATTACCATAGCTTTGTAAGTGTGGCTTGAAATCTGGAAGCGTGCTGCCTCCAGCTTTGTTCTTCTTTCTCAAGATTGCATCAGCTATCCAAGCTCTTTGGTGGTTCCATAGAGATTTTAGATGTTTTTTGTTTGTTTGTTTATTCTGGTGCAAACCCAACCAGGATTGCACTGAATCTGTAGGTTCCTTTGGGTAGTATGGACATTTTAACAATATTAATTCTTTCAATCCATAAGCATGGTGTATCTTTCCATGTATTTGTGTCATATTTAATGTCTTTCATTTATTAGTTCTAATACTTTTTGGTGGAGTCTTTAGGGTTTTCCAAGTATATCTAGAACCATTTGTCGTCTGCAAATAGTGTCAGTTTACTTCTTTCTTACCCATCTGGGTAACTTTTATTTCTCTTTGTTTGTTTCATTGCTGTGGCTAGGACCTCCGTACTCTCTGTTAAATAAGAGTAGCGAGAGTGGACATCTAGGTCTTCTTCCTGATCTTAAAAGAAAAGAGTTCAGGTTTTCACCATTGAGTATGATGCCAGATGTGGGTTTGTCATATATGGCCTTTATTATATTGAGGCATGTTCCTTCTGTACCACTTTGCTGAGAGTTTTTATCATGAATAAAAACTCATGGATGTTGAATTTTTTCAAATGATTTTTCTGCACCTGTTGAGATTATCGTATGATTTTTATCCTTCATTTTGTTAATGTGGTGTATCACAATGATTGGTTTGTGGGTACAAACCATCCTTGTATTCCTAGAATAATCCCATTTGATCATGGTGACTAATCTTTTTAATGTACATTCTAATTTGGCTTGCTAATATTTTGTTGAGGATTTTTGTATGTTTATTCATTAGGGATGTTGGTCTGTGATTTTCTTTTCTTTTTTCCTTTCTTTTTTTTTTTTTTTTTTTTAATTTTGGAGTGCCTTGGATATCAGTATCAGGGTAATGCTGGCCCCATGGAATGACTTCAAAAGCATTCTTCTACTTCTATTTTTGGAATAGTTTGAGAAAGATAGATGCTAACTTTTCTTTAAATGTTTGGTAGAGGGGTGCCTGGGTGGCTCACTTGGTTAAGTGTCCAACTCTTGATTTCAGCTCAGGTCATGATCTCACAGTTCATGAGTTCAAGACCCACACAGGGTTCTGCACCAATGGTGTAGAGCCTGCTTGGGATTTTCTCTCGCCCTCTTTCTCTCTTCCCCTCCACTCCCCACCCTCTCTCTCAAAATAAATAATTAAACTTTAAAAACATAATTTACCCGTGAAACCATTTGGTCCTGGATATCTGTTGGGAGTTTTTTATTTACTGATTCAATTTTGTCTGTTCATATTTTGTTTCTTCAAAATTCAGTCTTGGAAGATTATATGCTTTTAGAAATTTCTATTTCTTCAAATTGTCCAATTTTGGGGCATATTATTTTCTGTAGTAGTCTCTTATAATCCTTGTATTATATTATGTTATATTATATATTATATATATTATACAGTATATTATATTTGTATTTCTTTGGGTCAGTTGTAACTTCTCTTTCATTCGTGATTTTCTTTATTTGAGCCCTCTCTTTTTTTCTCGATGAATATGTCTGAAGGTTTATCAATTTTATTTATCTTTTCCAGGAACCAGCTCTCAGTTTCGTTTATTTTTATTATTATTTTTTTGTCCTCTATTTGGTTTATTTCCCCTCTCACCCCTACTTTTCCTTCCTTCTAACTTTGGGCTTTGTTTATTCTTTTGTTGTTTTGTTGTTTCTTTAGGTATATTATTAGATTATTTATTTGAGACTTTTCTTGTTTCTTGAGGTAGGCTTCTATCACTATAAACTTTCCTCTTAGAACTGCTTTTGCTGTGTCCCAAAGATTTTGAACTGCAGCGTTTGCATTGTGATTTGTCTCCTGGTATTACTTGTTTCCTCTTTGATTTCTCTGTTGACACACTGGTTGTTTAGTAACTGTGTTGTTGAACACCCACGTGTTTGTGCATTTCCAGTTTTTTTCTTGTAACTGATTTCTAGTTTCATACTGTTGCAGTCAGGAAAGATGCTTGACATGATTTCAGTCTTCTTAAATGTATTGAGACTTGTTCTGTGGCCCGACATGTGATCTATCCTGGAGAACGTTCCAGGATGCACTTGAAAGGAATGTGTATTCTGCTTTGGAGAGGCCATCAGACCCCACTGAGGCTGCCCACCAGATATGGCAAGGTGGGAGCTTCTCTGGAGGGGAGCCTGCCAGGGTGGGTCTGTCAGGACTGGCTCGTGCAAATTTTCAGCTATCTGTACTGAAGGAGGGCAAGAAAATGGCTCTCACCAACACTTGTGTTCCCGTAGAAAGCTCTACAGATCCCTGCCCCTCTGGCACACATCCTTAAATTAGTCAACAAACCTGTTTCATGTATAACCCAGGCACTTTTCAAACTGTTGCTTCCGTGCTGCATCCCAGGCTGAGTGATAAAGCCTGCTGGCTCTTTAAGCATAGGGACGCAGTTTCCCATAGCCCTCTGTCTTCCCAGAGTTTAGCCCTACTGATTTTCAAAGCCAGATGTTATGGGTTCTCATCTGGGGTCCAGGACCCCAGAGCTGCGGGTGCCCAGTGCCCAGAGCTTGGTCCCCTCACTCACTCCTCCATGTTCATGATCTCGCTCCCACTGGTAGGTAGTCATGCTGGGTGTTTGGTTTCCAACTGCATCTTTTCCCTACTGACCTTTTCAACGTGACCTTCTCTTTATATGACTTTAGCTGTAGAAGATGTGTTCTTCTCGTCTTCGGGTGGTTTTTAGAATGAGTTCTAATACGTGTAGTTATTGGCTCAGTGTATCTACAAGAGGTCATAAGCTCAGGATCCTCCTGCTCCACCATCTTCCCTGACTCTGGCAAATGGTTTTATGTCAAGGGTCAATACCACCTGATCAGCGGTGGCTTCTTAGAGAATTGTGTTGAGCAGGATTCTGAGACTTCGTACAAACTCAGGAAGAAAGGTTAGCAATGGGCATAAGAGGAGGAAGTAGACATCTTCAATCTAGGCTCAATGCACTTTTTTTGCTTTTTCCTGCATCCTCTAGCATCAACTGCTCAGTCAAAAAAAACTACTCATTGATTCTCAAATATGCTATCTCATCCTATTAACCACAAAGACCATCTATTTTCATGATTCCTATCTTCTGCTGTCTAGACTTCACTTGGCTCAACTTCCACTCATTAGAATCCTCACCTTATTCCTGTAATACTCTACCTTCACATTTTATAACTTAGCCCTCCATTGAACACGTATCAACCTCATTTGTATTATAGTAACACATAAGTATGATATGTGTGTCTATGTATGTGTGTATATGTATGCGTGTATTTCTGCCTTTCCCACTGGACGAGAAACTCTTTGAAGGCAATGAACATATCTTACTTATCTCCCAACCCCTAGATCCCACCCACTAACTTAGACATTGCAAATATTCAATAGCATTTTAGGGGATATAAGAACTGATTAACTAATTAACTAATATTCTGATGGCGTAATAGTCAGAAAGTCACATGGAATATCCAGGGAACTGGAATCCTCTCAGAAATAGACACTCTTGTGGGAATTTCCCAGTTTCCATCAGTGATCCAGAAGACAGCAGCCCCCCTGGCTCTGAGGTAGGCGGTACAGCTGCAAATTCAAGAGAAGAATCTCTTTCTGTGGGGTAGCGGTATGGCACTCAACACTTACAAAAGACCGCACGTGCCCACGAGACAAGCTTTGTGCCCCTTTCACCATCTGAGTTGTAGAAGATACGACTTACCCAATATCATATGTGCGCTCACAAGTAGGAGACTCACACTTCAAATCCATGACTCACATAAAGTTGTGCTCTTTTGCCTCACCAATGAGTTTGGGGTAAATTTTAGAGAAAGGAATCCCCTGGTATTAAAAATAACAATATTTTGGGAAGTACTGCTGCCTGTCCTACAGAGGTCTCATGCTCAGATCCTCCAAGTGGGCCCCCTAAACCATTTATCGGTGTGCCCCACAACTGGAGACTCAGCCCTAAAGACCAGGCAAAGACGGTTTTCAAAGAGAAATTTCAAACCACCTTACCAACCACTGGCAGCTTCTCAAGCTGGTGATTTAATGAAGGCCGTCAACCCAAAGCCTTCGCTATCAATTCTCTCAGGCCATACAACACATTAGGGAGCACTATTTGTGATAACATGATAACTGAACAACTGAAAGAGAAGTCACAGGCATCATGGGGTGGGGGGGGGGCGGGGGGGGGGGAGAGTCTTTCTTTCCCTTACAGGAAAATGGCTTTTGTTGTCCTTGTCCCTTTAATGCCTTAAAGGGAAGAAAGAAAGGGTAGGGGGGAGATGGTGAGAAGGAGGGAGGGTGCAGAGGGGAAGGGAAGAGAGAGAAGGAAGGAAAAAAAGGGAGGGATGGAGGAAGGGAAAAAGAAGGAAAAAAGAAAGAAAAACATCAAGGAGAGATAATGACAGACTTGTTAATTTCCAGAGTTGAAGCCCAGAGTCCTGACTTAAGACAAAGGACATCACAGGCATTTTGTTCATCCAAGAGCTGCAATGCTTGGGATTTGTCATTTTGCACAGTGCAAAGCCAACGATGCGAGCCAAAACCAGAGAGAACACAAGGATTTCAACAATTTGGGGGTTATCTTCCCTGCCTTTTCCCCTCTGTGTCTGTGTGATTCCTCAGACAAAGTGGGTTGGAGAAGTTCAAGCTCAGTTCACAGAAGAGAACATTCTGTACTCTGCACAACAGGCTGGGCTGCTCTCTGTAAAACAAAATCAACAGCATGATCTCAGCCGCGGCGGCGGCAGGCACCGCGCCGCCAACCCACGGCCCCGCCGTTTGAATAGAGCGGCTGTCAAAGGCGCCCCGCGGACGGTCCCCGGAGGTGCAGCCGCGCGCACATGCGCACCGCAGGCTCCCCGCGCGCACATTCACACCCGCCCCGAGCCAGAGGCCGCAGAAACGACTTTCTGGCCCATTGTTACTTCTTCTCCCCAGCGGGTCAAGGAAGTCGTTTGGGTCTTTCTTTGGGGAGAGTAATTACCGCTGAAACATTTCCAAGGAAACAAGCCCCTGCGTGTTCGCTTGTGCTCTGGCGTTGACTGGAGCTTTTGCTGCCGGTTTTGATGTTACTGTAATCAAACGACAGCATTAACTCTGAATCTGCCCCCGCTTCTTTACTCGGGCAGGGAGAGGCCGGGAAAGAGGAGAGCTGGCTGCTTGCTGGGCCCCCTCACCCACCCTCTAAGCTTTTCCATTTCCTTCTGGATCCCTGTTTTGTTTTGTTTTTTCTTCTTTTGTCTGGAGGTTAGCGTGCAGTTCGGTAAATATTTATGGAGGGTATATACGGTGTCAGGCACTGTCCGTAGAATAATATTCATGGCAAGATTTTTTTCCAGTGAAGAGAAAACCTGGCCATGAGGCCCATCAGAAGAGGGAAGGTGTCAGGGAGAGGGATAGGACGTTTTCTGGGGAAGGTCTGGAGACTGAGGTACCAGAAGGCCTGAATACAGGTGGGTGTTTTTCAGTACGAAACACAGACGCCTGGAATGAAACTGCTTCCCAGTGTTCTTTCCTGCCGCATCCAAGCCCAGCTGCTGGGGGAAGGAATGACAACGAGAATGCGTAGCTGCCCACAGCAGGGCAGGAAAGTGTGGCCTCTGTGCCCCTTGAGGTCCCCTTCTCCTGTGCTGTTACAGGATGCAGAGACCAGCAGGGCTGAGCGGCAGGGTGGAGAGATGGCAAGTAGAAAAACCCGGGCTCCGGTGCTTGCCAGAGGCTTTGAATCCTGGGAAACCTCAGGCAAGATCCCCTGACCTTGTGCCCACGAGTCTCTGCGCCCTCCTCAGCTATTAACTAGAACCAGGACCACCGGCTTTGTAGAACTACTGCCTGCTGTAGAATTTAAGGAAACTATCTATGCCTTTGCATGGCATAGACTAGATAATAGATAGTAATGATTGTGATTCGTAATGCAAGTCCTGTTGAGAGAAAGCTATTAACTGGTGTCAGCTGAGAACTTCCACCAGTGTGCCCTCTCGGATTTTCTTGCTCACGCGTTTGCACAGTTATTGACTTAGTAACGTCTGTTGAGCACCAGCACCTAGCACCGTGCTCTGTGCGAGGCACTGCACCAGACAATGAGGCAACAAGAGCCTTGGAGATACTTGCCCACCTTTCCATGGAGCACAGTTTACACAGGGCTGTGGCAGAGCCCTGGGGCTCGATGAATGCTACCTCGTAGCCTCCCTTTTTCATGCTCAAGCGCCTTCCTTGGGTTCCACACCATCTCTCTGGCTGTCCCAAGCCATCCCAGAGAGAAAGAAGCTTCTGGGGAGTAGGGATTGGCCGGGAACAGCCCTGATGCAAGACATTTCTCGGGACTGCCCTTCGAGAATGTAAACAGCCTTTCTCACTTCAGGACTGGAGCTCCTGCCAAGACTTTGAAAAACAAGTTACACAAGCACCTTTGGAGAGGTTGGACATGCTACATCACAGCGGCTGCTATGTGGGGAGGCCGGGGGGGAGGGGGGTGTGGTATAGACAGTGTAGACAGAGGTAGCCCCATGGAACTCAGGGGCAATACATAAACCTAAAAACAAAAGGCTCGCCAGGCTAGGAGTTCAGGAAAACACAAGCCCTCAGGTAGCACACCAAGCCCCAACCTGTGGAAGGAGTCAGCCATTGATAAATTCACAGACATCCCTGCTGCCATCACAGATACGATCCCAGAGTTCAGTGGAAGAATCGTCTGCCTTTAGAGCCAGGGCCCAGGCCGAGGTGGGGCTCTCCTGGAGCTGGTCACCATGACATCCTACATTCTTTCTCCCCCATGAAGATCACCTCCCTGACTAGACCCACCACACGGAGGGCCCTGTTTAAAATTTCGGCAGCAGGCAACCTGTCGCAAAAGTGCTACCCCCCCCCCGCCTCCATTGGCATCCTTTGCCAAAAGCAACTGCCAACTCTAGCCAGTTGCAAATGGAATTTCTCAGAATACCAGAGTGTGCATGGGGCAGTAAAAGCAAAACCCTAGGGATCTGAGGTAGATCAAGCTAAATAAATTCGAGGACTAGGCAATTGACCAAGATCTCAGAGGGAGGAAATGAAGGGAAGTTGTTCCCAGAGAATTAGGCAAGATTTCATACAACCCACACACATTTGATGGGAGAAGAGCCTAAGAGAATGACGTTGGTCGCCCATTCATTATGTGCCAGGCACTTTACATACATTCTCTCATTTAATCCCCACAATAATCCTATACAGCAGCTAGTGATGTTATTTCGGACTCACACAGCTTTAGTAATTAGCCCACCGTCATGCATCCAAGTACCTGGCAGAGTACTTAAACCCAAGCCTCTCCAGCATAGGAGCCATGTTCCTATCATTGCGCTATTCTGCCTCCTCGCGTGTAAGGATCTTATTAGAATACTGTTGGAATCATGTTGCACATTTATTTAGGATTTACAGAGGGCAAAGTCTCAAGTAGAAGTCTTGACATCAAGCCCCACCCTCCAGTCTCATGTATTTACCTTCTCTCAGTATGTATACTCAATCAGCAATGGTTATTGAGCTTCCAGGGGACATTGTGCTATGTTCTCTGGGGGACAGAAGGGTCAGTTATGCATGGGTGCTGCCTTCAAGGAACTTACAGTCTGTCTGGATAGGGTGGGTTGTGCTATAATAATACTTTATGTTATTAATTATTCAAATCACCTCTAAAGCTAATGTTGTGATATAACACAACAAAGGTCTACTTCTCGCTCACACCGTGTTTCCATTATGAATCTGCTGGGCCCTTCCTTACTCAAGAACCCAGGCTGATAATCCACCAAATATTTCTAACACTGCCAGTCACTGTGTCAGGAGAAAGACAGAGTGATTGATCACTCACCAGCTCTTAACGCTTCTTCCTCTGAAAGCTTCCTCCACAAAGGGGCTCATGTCAATTCTGCTTACATTTCATTGGGTAAAGCAAATTAAATACGCTCACATAACCACATAACTTGAAGAGGTTAGATAAGCACACACCTACCCTAAGCCTGGAACTGGGGGCAGGGGAGGAAACCCTTGAAATTTTAGTAAATAGATCTAATCATGACCACATTCTGGGAAGAAGAATGATCTCAAAACCTCCCACTTCAAAATTCCATAATAATGTAAGTCTGGATGATTATGTGCCATCAGAGTGGATGCATTCAAGGTTTATGTCCTGAGGACTCAAGAGAGTGAATTATACCTGGCCGGGAGACCTCAGTGAAATGTCCTGAGGAAGGCTGGGTATTGAGCCTTTAAGAGTAGGAAGGACTTGAATGGACCTACAAGACTAGACCAACTGCATTCACCTTGGCTTTCAATATGGTGAAGGTACCCCACCACCAACCACTCTCATCAATGACATAGCTATTCCAGGCCTTGGAGACACAACCCAAATGAACACCTGAAGGCAAGGTTATTGCGTATGCATGGTGGCCTTGAGGAGAGAGGGCCCATCCAGCTGAGCGGAGTTCTAGAGTCAGAGAGAAGTGACAATTGGCCAGAGCATGAGTTGAGAAAGTAGAAGAAAGTTTGAGCAGAAGAAAGTCATGATCACAATGGATCTTGAGGGATTTTAATCTGTGGCTATATTCTTTTATTCTTTCATTCACAAATATTTTAAATGCTTTACATGGGAGACACAGAAGTGTATAAGGCTCGATTCCTACCATCAAGTTGTGCCAGGTTTTAGCAGAAAGAGAAGAAATATATTTTTTTACCTTTGCCTTTTAAGAGAGATCTCAAAGAGCTAGTCTGTTGAGAGGAACTAAAATTTCAAGGATGCAAAGGATTTTGAGGATTTCTCCTTTATGCAGGAGAAAGTGTTATAAGGGCTAAATTGCTAAATGGAATAGAGGTGACAGTGAGGCATCCAGGGTGGAAGGAGGTCAGAAGACAGTGGAGAATGGAGGAAAGAGAGGAGAGAAGGCCACTGGTAATAAGAGGAAAGGCTTTGGAGGCACCTGATGGCTCAGTGGATTAAGCATCTGATTCTTGACTTTGATTTAGGTCATGATCTCACTGTTTGTGAGATTGAGCCCTGTGTCGGGCTCTATGCTGACAGCACAGAGACTACTTGGGATTCTCTCTCTCCCTCTCTCTGCTCCTCCCCAATGCATGTACGCTCGCTCTCTCTCTCAAAAATAAGTAAACATTTGAAAAAAACGAGAAAGGCTTTGGGAATGGTGGCGATTTTTATGAAGTTTGGCCTCATTCTGTTCAACGTCTCCTCCCTTTTGAACATTTGAGTAAAAGACACATTACTCAAAATGCTCTGGGAAGAGACTTGAGAGGTCACAAGGGGGCAACTGGATGGCAATGAAGTATTGATTATGGCCTCAGAGAATACAGTGTGAGCAGGGACTTCCTAAGAGAGCCCAGACCTGTTTATGTTAAATAGATATGTGCAGTTGCATTTGTATGGGCCCAAAAATGGCAGTTTTAGGAGAAGGACAATTTGTCGAGAAAAGCTTCGTAAAGGAAATTACAAGTTTTCCTAGTACTGAGTATTAAAATATCTAAACGTGCCCCCAGCCCACCTGGATTAATGGAAAGCATTGCAGGCCAAGCACGAAGGAAAGCACTTGTAAAGGCACTGGGGTATACAGCAGCCTGGTTTATTTGAGCTCCTCTGAGCAAACACTGATGGGCAGGATTATGAGGGATAAAGTCAAAAGGAGCAAGTTCAGTAATCTCATCCAGTAATCAGGGTTTGTGGAAATAAGGACATGTGTTTACCTTCAGAATTATTTACTCAGCATTTACTGACTCTCAAATACCTGCAAGCTTTTACAAAAGTAACTTGTTCTGATTTGGCAAAAACCTGGGAAACTCGTGATTTCTTATTTTATTGCCTATTGATAAGAAACCTGACGGGTCCAGTGGTGAACTTGTCCAAGGATATCCTGCCTTATTTATACTCATCACTCATGTACAGCATGCCAATATTTACCTTTCTGCTGAACACCACCTCTCCATGCGCACTGGAGAGAACGTGTCAAGATCCTTCAGGTCCTGTGTCCCGGGAGGTGAAGGATTGCCTGAGACAGCAGCCCACAGCAGCAGAAAGCTGGCAACTATTAAAACACACTTCTTGACTTACAGTCACCTGTCAGGTAGGAAAATCTATCCTCGCTGATCAGAGCAGAAAGTACCCTGAGCGTGGGTATGAGTGTATGTGTGTGCCCAGGTATATTTTAACTATCCACCTGGGACATCTCTAAATCAGCATTCATTTCAATAATCTCATACATTCATATAGCACCTTTCTCCACAAATGCTTCCAAAGCAGTTTGTAAATTTTATATAGCTGGCGAATCAGCATTGCTGGAATAGAAGGGAAATAGAACCTTATCAGCTTCCTAATGAGGACTTGGGACTAAGTGTACTTTGGAGGAGAAGTACAGGGATCCAAGAATGTGTATTTAATTCACAATGTGTGTGTATTTAAATGGCATTATAGTTCATTAAAATAGTATTCAAATTTCCTCCTAATAATCCATTCAAATTTTACCCAGGCTTCGAGGCTCACCTCTGGATTCAACTCTACAGTTGATGCTAAATTTCAGTCCCCCGGAGCAAAGTAATGTCACTTTGCCCTGGATATTGTGCTTCCTAAGTACCCAGAAGAACAGATGTGGGTGAGAGGTCTTGTATCACCCCTGGGGGTTATACATTATACATTTCTTGCCCATGCAGAGGCTGAGATGTATCTGGAAGGCCAGTGAGCGCCTGTGAGAAAATTGAAGGAACTTCAAATCATTCGTTCAGAAAAAATTTATTGAGCAATTACTATGTTCTAGAAACTTGGCTCGAGTGCTGGGAATACAGGTGAGGGCGCTAAGAGATGCGGCCCCTGACCTCCTGGAGGCAGCAGAGGAGATGGTCATTGGTGAAATAGTCAAACAAAGTGACCATGGAGATTTGTACTATATAGGATGATTCTGAGAACATTAGCAGAGGACTTCCCATGGCTGGGGAGTCCGGAAAGGCTACCTGAGATCGTGAAGTTCAGGTTCTCATCTGAAGGATGAGTAGGAGCTAACTGGAGGTGTGTGTGTGTGTGCATGTGTGCGTGTGTGTGTGTGTGTGTGTGTGTGTGTGTGTGAGAGAGAGAGAGAGAGAGAGAGAGAGAGAGAGAAGGGGGGGAGAGAGAGAGAAAGAGACACTCAGTTTCCTTATTTGTAAAACAACTGTAGTAACAGTGCTTTGTCTAAGTTTGGGGTCCCCAGAAACAGACTCAGGTGGACATGATGTACTAGGAAGTGGCCCAGAAAGCACAGCTCCACTGTGGGACGGCAGTGGGAGGTACGTCCCTTTGGGACGGCAAAGGGAGGGAGGCCCAGCAACACTGAGTCACGCAAAATACCGTGAACTGGGGAGACAAAGCAGGTGACATGGGAATCTGGGGTGCTTGTCCCTGCCCTGTTTGGTTACCTGGAAGTCCCGGGCACTTCTGCTCTCCGGGCTGGGATGCAAAGTGGTTTGCATAGCTCGAGGACTATTGCCCAACGTGGAGCCACCGCCGCACCGGCTGCTGGGGACACACAGCTTGCAGTGATAAATGTGCAGGGATATGTAAAACGGACGGAATGGATGCGGGCAGAGACTAAAGGCGTTTGCTTCGTAGGATATGGTGGGTATAAGGAACGGAGCTAGGTGCATAGTGAGAGCTCAATAAATATTAACTCTCATTATAATTCGTATTTATAGGCTACGCAAGTGACATAGCTTAGTCGTGATTCCACTTTACCCGGTAATCTCTGCCTGACTCCAGTCCTGCCACCTGCCACTCCCTGCTGGGTCTCCTGAGGCAAGCACACATAGAAACACAGCAATAGATGTTTATGTTTCCCGGGATTGTCACATTTTGCTGAACTCATAACGGAACCGAACAAATAGCCCTGCCATCCTCTGTTAATACGTCTTGTTCACCGAGGGCTTCACTCCCCATTCTCCTGGGCTCCTGCCGCTCAGAAATTGGTGTGCCTGGCTGCTTCTCCAACGTGATCTGGACTAACCTGATGCAGTTCCCAGGCCTACCCTTCCTGGGCATGTTGATAGAATTTTGAGACCAGAGGGACTTCCTCGATCTGCTCATCTCACTGAGTGATATGCCGCACGATTGCTTGCTGCTCCAAAAATTGGCATTTTAAATAAAAAAGGAATGAGCTAAGGACATATGAACAAGAGTGACTCTCAAAAGCATTGTCCTGGGTGAAATAGCCAGACACAGAAGAACACTATGGTGTGATTCCATTTATTGGAAATTCTGAAACAGGCAACCTGAATCTCTGGTGACAGAAAGTGGGTCAGTGGTTGCCTGGGGCTGGGGCTGGGGTAACTACAAAAAGCCCTAAGGGAGCTTTGGGGGTTGCAAATGTTCGTGTCTTGGATGGGTAGGTAGCGGCATCTGTATACACAGTTGTCAGAACTCGTAGAATGGTACGCTTGAAACGAGTGCATTTTATCGCGTGTAAATCATTCCTGAAGAAACACATTTTAAAATTAAGTAAACAGGCATTTTATTGCCCAACCAAGAGATCAAAAGCAGATCCAAGACTACTCGCAGGCCACTCCGTCCCTCTGGCGAGACGCACAGAATCCTTTGTACCGTTCCGCATCTCACACACCCTATTTTTTTTTTTCTTTTGGCAAGAAGTTGGTCTTTATCATTTGCACGAATGGAGGGGAACAATGGTCTGGATGATCTAAAAAGAGAAAATGTACAAGTCATTTACATCCGGGGGCTCTGGAACAGGGTTTGGTTGCCTATCTGGTATTTGAAGAGAGATGTGCCTGCTTGACATCCCTAAAATTCACTACAAATGAAATCATGAAGTTCCCTACAAAGACCTGAATTGTTGGAAGCTTGGGAGCACTTCACTTCCCTCCCCACAATCCCACACCCGCCCCCGCCTGACCCCACCTCTCCCTTCTCCTTCCAAGCAGGAAATGCAATGCTTCCCCTGTCCCAGACCTTCCCTCCAGCAGGCGGTCTTGGTCCCTGCCTCTGCCGCTAGGAGATTTGGTGCCCCACGTGCTAACACGCAGCGTAAACAGAGGGAGTTGAGATACTCAAGCTATTGAAAAAAAGACTCGTAAATAGGGAGAACAAACTGAGGGTCAAGGGAGGGATTGTGGCAGGGGGGATGGGCTAATTGGGTAAGGGGCACTAAGGAATCTACTCCTGAAATCATTGTTGCACCATATGCTAACTAATTTGGATGTAAATTTTATTTTTTTTTTTTATTTTTTTTTTATTTTTTTTAACATTTATTTATTTTTGAGACAGAGAGAGACAGAGCATGAACAGGGGAGGGTCAGAGAGAGGGAGACACAGAATCAGAAGCAGGCTCCAGGCTCTGAGCTGTCAGCACAGAGCCCGACGCGGGGCTCGAACTCACGGACCGTGAGATCGTGACCTGAGCCGAAGTCGGCCGCTTAACCGACTGAGCCACCCAGGCGCCCCTGGATGTAAATTTTAAAAAATAGAAAATAAAACAAGTTAATAAAAAAAAGACTTGAAAAAGTGTTCTTGCAAATCAAGCTGAGTCACCTCCTCGCAGATAAATGAGAAAAGCTTCTATGAAAATTAGTTTCTTGGATTTGGGGTGCAGCCTAGCTGGATTTGGCCCCAGGAAGCCTGTGCTGACACACCCACACCCCCAAGCCCTGCCTGTCCTACCCTGAGTCCACTGTCTCTGCTCTCTGCACCCCGCCTCTCCTCCCGCACCCTGGACTTTATCCTTCGCGGCTCTCACCACGTGGAGAGGGCAAATGCCTGTTTACCAGTCTGTGTCCTGGGCCCGACTGAAAGCTCTTTGAAAGCGGTGCCCCCTGAGGTCACCACTGTATACCCAGCTGCTTGAACAGTGCCCAGGCTCCTAGTAGGTGCTTACTTAATAAATAGTTGTTGAGTGGTTATGATTCTGAACACACCACAACAGAGTTTATTTAAGGTTTTGCAAAGCAACTGCACAAACAGGAAAACCCTGGCACTTCCAAAGGGGACTCCACCCAAACAAAGCTCCAGCAGGAAATACCAAAAAGTCAGTATCTAGCACAGAAATCACTGTGTGCATTTCAGGGCAAACTCTGGTGAGCTGATGTCTGAGAGGCAATGGAACAGTCTGGAAAATCCAAGGCTCTCCAAAAGAGTTGTCCTCCAGGGGAGCCTGGTAAGCTCTATTGGTTAAGCCTGCCTCAGTGGCTAAGCGTCCGACTCTTGATTGCAGCTCAGGTCATGATCTCAGAGTTCGGGCGATCGGGCGCCACACTGTGCTCCACGCTGACTGCAGAGCCTGCTTTGGATCCTCTCTCTCCCTCCCCTATTCACACACCCATACTTGCTCACTCTCTCTCGAAATAGATAAATAAGCTTAAAAAAGAAAAATTGTCCTCCAAAAGCAGGTGACAGCCTGCAGGTGGGGGTGGAGGGAAGGGAGGGGAAGTGCTTGAATGAGTAGGAACTGAAAAGCAGAAAATACAAGGGAACAAGGTAAATACTTAAGCAACCCAGATTAAGCATCTTGAGTCAGATCTTTCTAGCACAGAGTTGTAGCGAACACAAAAGCTTCTCTAAATGTGTCCCTACCTAACCACAACCCAAGCACAGGGTTTTATAAATAATATGTGCCAGTACATTCAATAAATATTTATCATGCCTTCTGTAGGAGAGGCCAGGTGAGAGAACCAAACATGAATCATAGGGGAGCTCTCCGGATGGAATTCATCTGGTAAATACTTGACAACTTAAACAGAAAGGCTCAGATGTCATTTTCTGGTTTATCCAGTTCCATAGCATTTGACCTGTCCCACCCTTAGGCAGCAGTTTCTCTGGAGCTCACAGGTGAATTCTCTTGCCAAAGCTGGCAAGCCATGGAGAAGGGTCCGTGGCTGGTGCACCACTGTGTGTGTCCGTCACATCACCCAATGGGAGTGCCAAGCACGGTTACACCTATAGCTACCTTTCTTTTAAAGGGTGCAAAAATCGACTACAGTTACCGCTCTCATTCTTTTATTTGATGAGGTAGGCAACGCATTCAGTTGAAATGTCTGGATCTCTATCCTTTGCCAGTTGCATAGTTTACCACTCTCCAGGGGGTGGGGGCTACCCTATCTCCTGTGTCTTCAAACGTTCCCACCTTCTCCCTCCCATCATATCTCCCTCTGGCTACCTACACATCATAGGCTGTTTGTTCAGAGCACAGACCTATGGAAGGACTGAGAGAGCCAGTACAGCACAGCCTCTACCCTACTAGCTGCGGTGAAACTCAGGCAGTGAAGCAGGACCACACCATTCCAGGTCACACAGCCAGTGATGTGGTCAGAAGAAGGACCAGGTCCTAAACTTCTGGCCATCCACATACTGTCTTTCCAAGGAATTTAAATCCCCAGTTGGAAGAGAGGCGTGATTCAAAGAGCTAACCTTGGGACTCCTGGGTAGCTCAGTCGTTTCAGCGTCCAACTCTTGGTTTGGGCTCAGGTCATGATCTCACGGTTCAGTTCATGAGATCGAGCCCCACCTGGGGCTCAGGGCTTATAGCACAGAGCCTGCTTGCCAGCTTGGGATTCTCTCTTTCCCTCTTTCTCTGCCCTCCCCCACACCCGCATGAGCACACTCTCTATCTCTCTCTCAAAATAAATAAAAAATTTAAAAAAAAGAGCTAACCTTGAGTGAGGACAGCAGAAATATGGAAACAGTCCCTTCCTTGTCTTTACTGACTTTGAATGTAAAGGCTACTGGGGAAAATTTGTTCTATTATATGTAGCAAATGTATGCGTATACACACATTTCTATGTGCATATATGTATCCCTCTGTAGCATTAAATCCTAAGGCGAGAGTGCACAGCATTATTGTATATTATTATATATATTATATATAGCATTGTTGCATTTATTTATTTGGCATAGATATGCATATATGTGTATATATTTTATATACATATGTATATATTATATATAGGCATATATGTATTCAGACATGGCCTAGTGCTTTGGCCTTTCAGCCAAATCAGCCCCACTCCCCCGGGGGGGGGGGCCCCCCACACACCCAAACACTAGACCTCAGCTGTTGGTATTTGAGGGTGTCCCTTCCTCACCCAAGTTTGGAACCGACTGAGAGAAAGTCACAGGAGTCAGACAGAAGGAGATGAAGGTACAAACCTTATTGCTTCTGTAAATTGAATGTGTTTCCCCCAAATTCACATGTTGAAACTCTAATCCCTGGCATGATGGTATTTGGAGATGAGGCCTTTGGGAGGTGAGGCGGAGCCCTCATGATGGGTGGTTGGTGCCTTTGTAAGAAGAGACGCGAGAGAGCTCTCTGCCCTCCACTATGTGAGGACACAGCGAGCAGACGGCCAGCTACAAGCCAGGATGAGGGCCCCCATCAGAAGCCAACCATGCTGGACCCTGATTTTGGGCTTTCCCAGCCTCCAGACCTGTAAGAAGTAAATGTTTGTTGTTTAAGCCATCCAGTTTATGATATTTTTGTTATAAAAGACTTCACTGACTAAGACATCACCCAAAAGGTTGGGTGGGAAGATGTAGCTTAGGGATGTAGCAAAAATGAGCTTTCTAATGCCGGATTCCAGAATTAGGCCAACTTACCCACCCAGTGATGGGCAGCACTGAATGATTACAAGGCCCTCAACAGAGGCAAAGTCTGCCCTATATAGAGGATGCCTTGGGAGAGCAGAACGGGAGCTCTCTGCTGGCAGGTCAGTCCCGAAAGAGGGAAAAACTGAGCCAGAACTCAATCCCCTCTTTCAAATTCCTCGTTCTATTATGCAACCACTCCTCTCCCGGAGGCACAGAGCTTCACAAATAAGGATCACTGAATGAATGAATGAATGAATGAATGAATGAATTGACTTCTACGTCAGAGTCAGAATGGTCAAACGTGGGTTAAAATTTTTAAAACATATTCTGAAATTCAAAACAATTAAACTATCAAAAAATAATAATTATTAAAATATCTAGCCACAGAGAAAATGTAAAGAAAATCAGGGTACATCCTCTTAATTGGAAAAATATGAACCCTAAGGAGCACATGGATGAAGAATTTTTGAAAAGATAGAAAATGTACTATTCAGGTTACACACAAAGTACAGAAATTAGCAAAAATCTTCAGATGTTTTTCTTTTTGCTTCATATCACTCCTCTAGATTCCACGCAGCCTATAATGAAACATGATACTTTTATAGTTCAGAAGTTAACTTTTCTTAAAAATTAGGTCATAAATCTAACCAGAAATTCTGGAAATCAAAGCAAAAGACAGAACTGATTTGCCAACTTCAATATTTGCTTTGAAATAATGACTAGATAGGAGAATAAAAAATACAATGGATATAATAAATCTCATTAACCCACCTCAAATAAAATTCTGTTTCTAAAGTTGCTTTGTCTATTTATTCAATTCACTTTAACATGATTCATTATATCGTTTAAAAACTGAGACGTGTATTTTATAAATCACAAAGTGGCTCACAGGCCTGATTTTTTTCAGTAATGAAGAAAAGTAAATCTGAGAAAGGTTGCTGTGGCAGGCAGCCTCCAAGGTGACCCTCAGCGATCCTCCACACTCGGTATTCACACCTTTGTGTAATTCCCTCCCCTTGAGTGTAGCCTTGATTCAGGGTGACCGGTCACTGTGGTTTGCCCCGGACTGAGGGGATTCCCAAGATGCAGGACTTTCAGCGTTAACGTAGGAAAGTCCCGGGCAAATGAGGATGAATCGCTCCCCCTCGATGGATTTAGTGACTCACTTAAAAAAAAATAGAACACAGCAGAAAGGATGAGTGATTGGTTCCAAGATTATGATATACAAAGACTGTGGCTTCCTTGTCACATGTTCTCTCTCATGCTCTCTCGGTTCACTTGCTCTAGGAGAAGCTGGCCGCCATGTCATGGGGCAGCCTTGCAGACAGGCCCATGGGCGTGAATCTGGAAACAGATTTGAAGTGTGCCGACAGCCACGTGAATGCAATCAGAAGGAGATCCTCCCTTCGGCCTTCAGATGACTACAGCCCCAGACGATACCTGACTGCAGATTTGACAGAGAGACTCTGAGCCAGAACCACCTTGCAAAGAAACTGTAAGATAATAAATGTTAATGGTTTGGGGGAAATTTGTTACACAGCACAGATAACTAATACAGGTGTGATGGCATCAGAAATCCAGGCTAAGGTATTAGTTATTTTTGAACCTAGGATGTAGTTTCTTTAAAATGAGCTTTATCACCTAAACCATAACTATTCTCCCCACATACATTTATATGAGTGCCCAAAAGCATAGCCCACATCACCCCACCCCATCATGGCCATTCAGACCAGGTCCTGACTTTGTGGAAGCAAAAAACCAACACTTCCGGGACACCTGGGTGGCTCAGTCAGTTTAAGTGTCCAACTTTGACTTAGGTCCTGATCTCACGATACAGTTCGTGAGTTTGAGCCCCACATCTGGCTCTCGGCTGTTAGCACAGAGCTTGCTTCAGACCCTCTGTCCCCGTCTCCCTCTGTCCCTCCTCCACTCGTGCACACACACACACACACTCTCTCTCTCTTAAAAATAAACATTAAAAAAAATTCAACCACGTCCCAGTGGGAAGCAGTCCCTTTCTTTTCTGCCTCTCCCCAACCCCAGTGGGGGACAGCACTGATGATTGCTGTGACTACTATATCAATTGAACAGTTTTACAGAATCATATAATCAAAGATTCATAACATTAGGAAGAGCCCATTGAGATTTCTTTGATTATAAATTTCACAAAAGTAAGAATTCCATGCTGCGTTGGAGATGGGATCCTTAATACCTTTTCCCTCCCCTCCCAAGAAAAGCTAGCAGAGATCAGAGCCATTGAGGGCTTTCATTTTTAACTTTGCATCATGGAAGTGTTCATCATAGAAAAGTAGAGAAAATAATATGCAAAACCCATAACTCTTGTAAGCATCTCTTATCTTCAACAATTACCAGTTCAAGGCCAGTTTCTTTTTTTTTCAACTCCTGCCCCCCCTCCCTTGCCATACACTTAACCCCCACCCTGACCCTTTGGGTTATTTTGAAACAATTTTCAGACATTATATCGTTTCATCTGTAAATACTTCAGTACATAGCTCCAAAAGATAGGAAGATGAGAACTCTTTTTAAAAAAACATAATCACAATGACATAAAAAAAATACACTCTTAATGTCACCAAATATCCAATCAGTATCTTACCCCCCTCCCCCCCACCATCATCTCAGGTTTTTTCAACGTTTATTTATTTTTGAGAGAGAAAGCATGTGTGCGTGAGTGGGGGCAGGGCAGAGAAGAGGGGACAGAGGATTTGAAGCCAGCTCTGGGCTAAGAGCAGAAAGCCTGATGCAGAGCTCAAACTCAGGAACCATGAACCATGAGATCATGACCTGACCTTAAGTCCAACAGATAACCAACTGAGCCACCCAGGCACCCCTCAGGTTTTGTTTGTTTGTTTGTTTGTTTGTTTTATAGTTACTCTGTGTGTTCAAGTCAGTATCCAAACAAGGTCTACACGTAGCTTTTGGTTGATTCAGATCTTAAATTGGTTTTAATTTACTGCTTCCCCTTCTGCCACTGGCCTCCACCTCCCATGCCCTACACTAGCAGTACATTTTGAGACCATCCTGCTGCTTCCTGATTTCCAGTAGGGACTCATCTCTCCTGATAAACAAACAGCAGTGTACTGGAGCCCCTCTTTAGCATGTAACTTTCTGAGGCATGCTTGAACTTGGGTCCATATTAATGTCTCGGAATGTATCAAAGAAAGGCACTCTGATTGCACACTGTACTGGAGGAGATAGAAGTCAATTTCACACTACAGTTGGTATAACAACTTTTTTTTTTAAAAAAAAGTCGCTATTGGGGGATGTTCCACGAAAGTCAATAAATATTTTGCTCCACTGACACTGCCCTTGGTATCTCTTTTAAATAATAAATATGAAACGAGAAAGTGTTTGGATGGCAACACTCATCGGCTGCATCATGGCGACAGTGGCTCTTCTTCCTAAACCTCCTTAAGTTTCTTATTTTCTTTCTATGAAGTGGGATAAAACTAATAGCTTCACAGGGCAGTTCTCCCTAAGGCCTTTTCCCCAGTATTTCCCAAGCTGAGGCGCATCTGTGGAGGGCTGGTGTGAAGTGAAAACACAGGGAGTAACTGATATCTGTGAATTTATTTAGGTCATCATGATGTTATTAACCGCAGGGTTTTGACAGGATGGCTGTGAAATCTCCTCCCCAAGCTGGTGTCACTTAGGACCCAGGAGGAAGCACATTCTCCAGGCCTGTTTACTTTTCAGAGCCCCCCCACCCCCACCCCCGGGGCTTGCACTTCACCTCTGCACTTAACACCTGACCAGACAGAGTTAGGCACTGTAAACTTGGAGGTGTGAACCTCATTACTGCTTTGCCTATGGTGCATGCCTGGGATTTGTCCGGCATTGGAACAGGCAAGAGTTCAAAGCAGATGGCACCTTTTCATGACTGGAGTCAATTAAGGAGGGATTCCAAGCCGGCTTGGACGGCCAGGCTAACAGAAGGACCCTGGAGCAGCAGCTGGAATAAAACTAATGAAAACAACTACAGAGCAATTTGTGAAATGTCAAGGCCAGCACAAACACGCTGACCCTTGTAAACCTTGAGGTGAACTTGGAGAGAGGTTGGCCCACCCTGCCTTCGGAATGGCAAAGGAGGGAGGGAGGCTCTTGCCTCCTTGCCAGTTCTCAGGTCTTTCCAGATGTCCCTAGCGCCTTGCCCCATTGCCCACGCCTGTCCTGAAGGGGCTCACCCCAGTGGATCAAACATCTGGGCCATCCGCTCCTTTCTCTAGGTAGACCTTCCTCCCACACAAAACTCCCTCCTGCCGTGAATGGAAGCGTATATATGTATATACCGAGGTGCCTGGAGCGTGCAAACCTAACAGCCTGTGGAAGAAACAGCAGCTCTAGAAAGGGGGTTGGATATAGCTCCTCGAGCCCATAAAAGACACCCAGAACCTAAAATAAGTAAATGTTAAGATTCCAGGCACACGACAACTCATCCTATTTTCTTCTCCTCCCTTCCTTTAAACGGTGCCGGCTGTATTCACCACTGTTTACACAAGAGCAAATGCCTCTGTCAAGATAAATGGACTTTCTGTAAGCTCACAGCTGTATAAGCTACAAAAAGTTACAGAGGTGATTAATGGATGAAGGCGGCAACTTAGCTTACATAGACACGGAGAAAGGGGCAGCCCAGATTGCAGTTTTGTTACTACGTAGGTATCGAACCACGTGATGATTTCAGGACCCCTAAAGTCAATCAGGTGCAGATAAAGAAAGATTAACTGAAACTGGAAATAGGAAAATGAGGAAGATTGGCAAGACTGTTCTAGAAACAGAGAGCAGGAGGCCACCAGCCCAACTGATACAGACTTGGAGCAGGAGGGAGTGGGGACAGGGAGGTGGCATCTCTGGAGCCCTGGACCAAGCCAGGAAACCAAGAAGGGTTCTTTGCACCTTTCTTTCACATACTGCTCACACCCAGACACAACAGGACCCAGTGCCCCACTGTCTTTCTCCCAGCTCGCTTCTGAATATGGCCCCTGGCTCCACCTTGCTCTCCACCCATTCGTCCTCCATATTCTTTTCAATATTTTTCAATATTTTTAAACACCAGTGCAACTATTTAACAAGAGACTCCCTTTGCTAAAGCCCTTACGCAAACACACACACACACACACACACACACGCACACACACGCACACGCACACACGCACTAAGCCCAACTCTATAGCTCAGTCCAAAGCTGTACCTCCGCATTCTCCTCTCCCCTGTGTGTCACTATCGCCCCCACACCTCCAACCTGCTTTCCCTTCCCAAGGGCACCATGCTTGTCTTTGCTAATTTTGTCTTCTCTGCCTCGCTGCCCTATCTGCCCCCTTCTCCTGGCAAAGTCCTACTCAGATGTCACCTCACCTGCCTTCCTCTCCTGCTGCCCAAGACCCTGTAAGCCTCTCCCCCATGATGCTGTCACCACTAGAATGACATGATATTTGTTCTTAGGGAGAACTACTTCCCCAGATTATAAACCCCTAAAGAAAGGTACTGTGCCTTGCTTGTCTTTGAATTCCTAAAGCCCTGTACAGTTTCTGACACACGGGAGATACTCAATAAATGTCCCTCCGTTGAATTTCCTTGACTCTAACAAAAGCCCAATAAAACCTACTACTTGGCTCCTCGGCTTTGGCTCTCTCACCAAAACTGTTCTCCTTTGGTTCCTTTCCAGTCGTGGTGAACACTTGATCATTTCTGGCCTGCAAGACGCTGCTGCTTCCACAGCCTTCCTTGCTGAGCTTCTGCAGTTGGCCAGACTTGAGCCTGAGGAGCCAATGCTGGTGCCAGCTACTATAACCGTTACGCGCATCTCCTGCCAACAGCGGCCATGACCCGGGGCAAGGTGAGCATGGTCACTGGAGAACATTCAGTCGTTGCCAGTTGATGGAGCCTTCTCTGGTCACCTTCTGAAGCGGCACACAGCAGGTAGAATTACCCTCACCTGCCGCAGAGGTGTCTGCTAGGATACTTACCTTCCTGCAGACCAAATCATATTTTCTTCCATATACCTTTGCAATCTAGATTTCTGTCTCTCTTCTCTAGATCTCACCTTCTTGGAGGTCACTTTTCCAGCTGAAGAGGGCAAAGAAACATCTTGGAATGCTTTAGTCGCACCATCTCAGGGACCGGGCACGGCATTCATACTGTTCAGGGGAGCCTGTGACTGAAAACAGATTCAGTGGGACAAGCGCTGGGTCCATAAGGCATTCTATTAAAAAATTAAGATAATGGAGAGCATTTAGAATCATAGCATGCCCACATCAAAAAGGATAGTAGGTTAGTGTCAAAGTGTCATAGGAGCAACTTAGAGATCAATAAGCCCACACTCCCATTTTACAGACAGGAAACCAGGGCCCAGAGATGGGGAGTGGCTTGTCCAAGGTCACACAGCTGCATAATGCCGAGGCTGGCTCCATTCAGGGATTTTACTAGCTTCCATATTTAAGCTCAAGGATTTAGTGGCAAAAGCAGAGTCCAGGGTTCCCCAACACCTCCTCCCAACTCATCTCCCATCCCCTCTCGGTCCCCTTGCTTTTAAGGGGGTTGGATTCTGATCCCGTGGCCTACGTATTTAAAGTGCACATCTCACCCCTTACCAGACCTAAGGAGCATGTGTCCTGCCCCCATGCCCATGGAGTGGTTCCACTTAAGCCATGGTTTCTAAACCTGCACCAGACTACCTGGAGTGATTCTTTTTTTTTTAAATGTTTATATTTGAGACAGAGAGAGACAGAATATGAGCAGGGGAGGGGCAGAGAGAGAGGGAGACACAGAATCGGAAGCAGGCTCCAGGCTCTGAGCTGTCAGCACAGAGCCTGATGTGGGGCTCGAACACACGAATCTTGAGATCATGACCTGAGTCTAAGTCAGACAATCAACCGACTGAGCCACCCAGGCGCCCTGGAGTGATTTTTTTAAAACACAGAATCCTGGTCCTCATATTGAGGTTTTCCATTTCAGTAGGATGGGCCTTGAGAAACTGTAGTTTTTAAACTCTTTCACTATTTCTTGTAAGGCAAATTTTTAGGACCCTTACGCCAGGTGCCCTTCCTAGGTCCTTTCTAACCTGGAGATTCTCTGCTTATGTATAATATGAAATCCCTCATGTGTGATTCCATCATTCCTAGTTAAAATTAAAAAAAAAAAAAAAAGATACAATCAGAAGTGTGGGTGTGTTATCTAGACTTCCAGCAAGAAAACAGGCATCCAGAGAGGATATGAAAGTCACTCAAGGTCACCAACAGACTGCCTCCATCAGTAGGAGAGCAGGACTTTTAACTTGCTGACCACGAGGTGATGCTGTCCTATAGAATAAGCAGCAAAAAGGAGACCTGTGACCCTGAATGACTCAGCCGTTGCCCTGCAAGGTGAAAGTCGATTAATGTCTGTGCATCATCTCTTCGCCCATGACATGAGAGCGATAATGCTTTGCCTCCATTTCAGGTGACAGAGATGCTTATAAAACACTGAAAGTATAAAAGTGTTAAGAGAAGACAGACTGCCTTTTTAAAATAACTCAGACACGATATTCCCCCTTAAGTGGTTGTGTCGAGTAAAATTTCCATCTAGATCCAGCAAGGTAATATGAACTATGAGAGCACTGACATCTTAAACCCCTGTTCATATAACTTGGGCTGAATGGGTGGCCTCACTCAGTGTGGCCACTTCAATTTATAATTTATTGAAATCAGCCTAACACCAAGATACGACTTTCTCATGTCAGTTCATTTCTCTCCGTCTCCAGTCAAAGCCAAAACTCCATTATAGACCTTCCAACATGGTAGGTGACTCCGTGGGAAAAGTCACAAACCTTTTCAACTATAAACACCAGATGTAAGAAGCTGGAAACTGAGAGTTGGCTGAAGACAATTGCTTAGTGATGCAAAGAAGGTTCCTATAATTATTGCAGACCCCTTGCAGAACCACCGCATTAGCTTTCTACACCACCTTTGTCCCAAACCCCTGCTCATCTATGAGCTAATGGGAAACACAGGCTTGTTTAGTAGAATGCCTTACAGTAGAACTGAAAGCTTAAGAAAACCTTGGATAAAACTTAACATAGATGTACAGGATTTCAATGGCTACCATCTCCTGAGACTTAAGATCCAATCATGTTGAAGTTGTTTTTGCAATGTAGTATGTTCTTCCACTTCTATCCATGTAATGCTCACACTCAGAGCTCTCTCCAGTTTTTCCATTGGTCTGTGGGATGAAAAGCTCTCACTGATCTTCACACACATTAGTGCGAAGCCACAGACAGAACAAGTATGCAGAAATATAGGGGAAAGAAAGAGAGATCAGGAAAAAATGGAGCACTGGGACAGAGCAGAAGGAGCAAAGTGGACACACAGTAAAACAATAAAGTCGTGTATGGAAACCAGAGAAACAAATGCAAAAATAGACAATGGGGATGGGGAAGGGATGGGGAAGAAGATACCTACATTTCAAAGAATGCATATGCCAGGTAGATGGTAAGTGCAAGAAACAGTTCTCCATTCCAGATTGTTTTAAGTTGAGGCAGTAGGAGTGGAGGTGAGGGGTGACGCTTTTGCTGACTGGGAGGAAGAGTAAAGTCATGACTGCCATGTGCTAACTGCCCAACACAACCCTGGACTAACCAGGCTGTAGCGCTCTAGGCCCAGGTGAAGTCAGGCCAACCCGACAGACTAGCGTCAACATGGCGTCCCAGCTGCACACGAAGTATCTGACATCCTAGTTTCCAAGTCCATAGGGAATACAGGCGATGGCACAACCCAGGCCAGTTTGTAGGAGGAGAGAGAATTCCCACTGGGCAAAACAAGTGAGGGTCTTTCCACCGAGTGGACTAGAAACTTGAAGGAGCCACCCTCAGGTTTGCAACCCTGATGAAATGAAGGCCTTCAGGGCTGGTATGCAGGGCAAGGGCCTCAGGGTGGGAAAATTAGACTGTATGCCTGGCTCCCTGCAGAGCCCAAGTGTCCAGCAGAGATAATTTCGTCATTACACATAGCACATACTGAATGATCACGAAGGGGTAGCTAGAATTCTTCCACATTCTGTTTTCTGCTTCGGCTCCTCCTTGGGTTTCTCATCACTTTCTCCATCATTGTATGCTTCTCAGTGTTCTTAGACCTCTGTCATACAACAAGGGTTCCTTCTGACCTTACCAGAGGGCCTTGCTAGGTGTCCATTCGTTCATTCATTCATCCATCCATCCATTCTTCATTCATCTTTCTTTTATGCAATAGCAACTTTGGACCATTACACCTCTTGAAAGTTATACCACTTTGTGACTTCTTTCTTTATAAATATAAATATAAATGACAACTCTTGGACTCAAAAACTTACCACAGAGATAATAAACAAGAAGTCGTATTTCTTCATCAGGGTTTCAAACAAAGACCATTCACCAACTTTCTCGACACAGCAGTTTATTGTAGGGAATATTATTTGGAACAAATTTAAATCATAAGCCATGTTTGTGTAAACCCAAAACATTTTGTTTTGTATACATATGCCCCATGAGAGGATTGAAAAACAACAGCATCTGTGACTCTGTGACCTGTTGTGTGCCTGAACTATTTCCAAGCACTCCCATGTTTAAATTTACTTTACCCTAGAAATGTTGTTCTGGGCTATGAATTTATTTTTAACCCTGTGTGGATACAGAAGTCATCAAAAGGTTAAAATACTGGGCAAGAAGAAAAATGAGTAAGTACAATAAAGTTTTAATACATTACCTTTTCTGTATATACTGTATTGATTTAACTTTGAAATTGTGCCTATTCTTTTTTTTTTAATTAGGTAATCTCTATGCCCAACATGGGGCTCGAACTCACGACCCCGAGATCGAGAGTCACATGCTCTATGGACTGAGGCAGCCAGGTGCCCCAAATTGTGCTTATTCTTTAACTTCATTTGTTGCCATTATTCAATTGATACAGTGTTCTATCTGTGAAAATTGTTTGGTATCTTGGGATGGCACACAACATGGTTTTTCCCACTAAAATGAATAGAGGTTTGTTTGGGTTTTTTCCATGTAACAGCTTTTCACTCAGTTGCAGATTTTTCAGTACATTTTATTTTTATTTTTTTTTTTTAACGTTTATTTATTTTTGAGACAGACAGAGACAGAGCATGAACGGGGGAGGGGCAGAGAGAGAGAGGGAGACACAGAATCCGAAGCAGGCTCCAGGCTCTGAGCCATCAGCCCAGAGCCCGACGCAGGGCTCGAACTCACGGACCGCGTGATCGTGACCTGAGCTGAAGTCGGAGGCTTTAACCGACTGAGCCACCCAGGCGCCCCATCAGTACATTTTAAAGTCACTCATTGGGAGATGAGTATACTATGTTCAGGGCATTCTAGAAGGCACTGGAAAGCCAAAGATGAATTGAACCCACATCCTGCCACCAGCTCATAATCTAGTAAGAGATACTGATGGGTAAGCAGGCAACTGAGCAGTAAGAGGAATGTTCTAGCAGAAGTGCAGGATATTTAGTGCAACCAGGAGGAGAGGGGGAGCTCTCAGTGGACCTATGATTTCAAGGTGGGAGACAGTTCAGGGCTTTTGCTTAGTCTTCCTTCCTTCAGCAAAACAAAGATTCTTGTGTCTTATCCCCTTAGTACTTTGCGAGTTTGGTTATTAATCTATAATAAAGTAATTCAAGGTAAGGAGCAATCCAACTAACTGTCTGCTAGGCAGCTCCACGGACCCCTCAGCTCAGCTCACCCAAAAGCCAATTCTCTGTCCTCGCCTGCAGATCTGTCCCACAGTTGTCCGAGCCAGAAACCTAAGAGACCTGCTTAGCCCCTCCTTTGCCCTTCTCCACCCAATCTGATTCCCAAGCCCTGTCAGTTTTTCATCTTAAACTTTTCAGAATCTGCCTGCTTCTCTCCATCCTTTTACCACCATCCTATTCCAAGCTACTTTCTTCCCTTCTTCCCCTGGGCTCTTCTCCTCGTCCTCTAAGCATGACTCCCTTCCGTTCATTCTTCAGAAAGCAGACAGAGTGGTATCCTAAAGTATAAATCTCTGTCTCCTTCCAGGCTAAAAATCTGAAGGGCTTGCCACTGCCCTCAGGATCAAGGCCGTATGGGTATCCACAGCCCTTTCTGACACGACCTCAGCCCTCCCCCAAGCTGCTCTTCTTTCGGTTTCTTACAGGAGCTTATTCTCGCACCTC